CCATCTCATGTCCCAGCTCCAGACCTCAGAGTTGGTATTTCTCTATAAATGGATGCATTCAGTAGCTGCTAAGTGTTAACCGTATTGGTGATCTATATATGCTATAAAATCAACAAAAACTGAATAAAGAGAAAAATTATACAATGGCTTTGTTTTATAACCAATGTACAATGAGATCTAAAACAAAAAGAACAATTATTTACCTTAAATTAACGGTGGTTCTTTGAGAGGTGTTGTCCACATGGATTCCTCTCTTGATGTGCATGCGTACCATTTACATGATCTTAGATCTTTTGGCCAGCAATATCCATTGGAGCCATGCCTGCACTCTAAACATCCTCCCCAGCCCCACCACATACACACACCTGATCGGATAAAAGGCAGACTGATCCAAGTCTTCCACAGTTCCTTCACCAAAACAGAATTTCAGAGAAGCAAGACTCCACAGTACGGGGAAGAAGAGTGGGTCCTGGAATCTATGTGGACAACACCTCTCAAAGAACTTTAGTGACTGTAAGGTAAGTGACCATACTCTCTTCAAGACATGGGAGACGCTCTTGGGACACGGCTGACAAGAGAGAAGGAAAGGGAGAGACAGTTGTACTGGAATACCAAGTTCAGAGGGCTCCCCAAAATGTCTAACAACTCTGTAAATAAAGTGAAATGGGAGGGGATGGAGGTGCAGAGCCTCCACTGGTGTGGTTTGATCTGGAAAGGACACTTCCAGAGCCAAATTACATCCTGACAAAGTGGAGATCATCTTGTTGACACAATATATGGCTTTGGTGTTCTGTCATCACTTATGCTGTGAACCCCTGGAGAAGATGTAGACTGCTTTGCATGTCAAGCAGATGGCTATGTATTCTAGGATGTTTATGTGACATCAAGCTTCCATCATTCCTGAAACTGGAGGTGACCTAAAGTAGCCCCCATTCCTGAGTGGAGGCATCTCTCACTCGAGTTTTGGTAGGAAGAAGTGCAGAGAATAGTACTCTGTTGCATACCTGAAGAGTCTTTCCAGCAGGAGAGGACTTTTTGTGGGACTCTGAGCAACATGTCCAGGCACTGTCTGCTGCATAGATGCAAATTTCAATACCCTTGCTGTCATGTACTCTTTGTACACAGTAGGTTATAGGGATACCGTAAGGAAGTGCAAGCAAATCAACTGTTCCTCTATCAGTTCCTCTTGATGTTCCTTTGGTAACTTGTTCACAAACTGAGACAACTTATCCCCCTGTTTAAGTAATCATACCTGGAGATGTTGGCCTGAGAATTAATCACATGCATTTAGAGAGTGGCAAAGGAGTACACCTTACATGCAAAGAGATCTAACTTCTTTGGGTTCTTCTCTCTGGTTAAGGATTTGTGAGTTCCTTGTTATTTTGACCTTTCCTGGACAGAAGCCACTAAAATCAAACAAGTGGGAATTAAGGTATTAAAATTTCCTGGAGGGGACCTAGTACATCCTGTCAACTTGTTTGGATGTAGCTGGAATACATGTTGGTGTGTACCACAGGTCTTTCACAGGCTCCGACAGTCCCTCATTTATAGGCAAAGCAAACCTGCCAGGTATGGAAGGCTATAAGTTGTGCAGGAGTTTATGGTTTCTTCTTCCAGTCATATATCCAGGGTCTCTGCCATGTGCTTGACTAGGTCCTTCCTGGGACACTTTAATCCACTGAGGAAGGAATGGGAAAGTTCATGGAAAGGTATCCTCTGGGAAGGATAAGGAGATTGCACCAGGGACCAGGTGTTCTTCCCCCCGCAGCAGTTGGATCTTTCCCTCATTTTCCTCTTCCTGCCTTTCCAGGATCTGAGGCTGCATCAGCTGACACAGCTGCAATGGCCTATACTGCCTCTTTGGGGAGAGGCACATAGATCTGGAGGCAGTTGATTATGCAGTACAATTCATCCAAGGGTGAGGCCATGTTATCTGGAGTGCCCTGCCTCTGAGTGGGAGAGGATAATACTGGAGATACCCCCTTAATTTCTGGTACTGACAGTTTCAGAAATTAGTAGCTTGGATATTACCACTTTCAGCCTCGCTAGGAGATATGACTCAAGTACTAGGCCCACAATTATAGTAATTTGGTACCATAAATCATTTGGATACTAATATAGCCAGTGCAGAGTTTACTGGATATGAAGGAACATGGGTCTGAGATGTCCAGTACACAGATGGCAGATACCAAGAACTGAAGTACTTAGTATCAAGGCTCTAGGTACCAAGGCACTTGGTGCAAAGTTCAGTTGCCGTCAATTTTAGTGGGTCCAGTGGCATTCTTACTAATCGGTACCAGGGTACTTGAAGGGGTCTTGTCAGTCTTTTGACCCTTAGGAGACTGAGCCCAAGATGAGCCAGAAGTCTGACTCATGCCTTGACTTACTAGATATTGGAGAAAGTGACCTATGCCTTGGCCCATCCCTGGAGTAGTTGTCCTTTTTCCCCCCATCATGTCATTGGCATTGGAATACAGGTAGACAACTGTAAGCCTCTTAGAAGGAGGGGTCTGGGTGCTCAGGCTGAAATCTTGGCTCACTGGAGAAATAACAGAGGGACCGACCAGTGACATGGCCTAGCTCTGACCTTCCTCTCAATGTCTGAGGAGGCAAGCATTGAATCTTTGAGGAGGACAGGCTTCATGCAGGCTCTCTAGCTCATGAGTTCACTTAGAGAAGGAACAATACATGGAGCATAGCTCAGAAAAAAGTGTCCCTCTCCTAGGCTGGGCAAGCAGTGGAAGTGCTGCTCACAGGCATCAATCATTCATCTGAGGGTCAGGTCTTGATTCCTGGAGATTTAGCTTCTGCCATGTTGCTAGCACGGCTGTACAGGAGTGGGAGTCTAGCCTAAATTGCAACTAAGAATTTATTCTTTTAGCCAATGGGGAATAACTATCTAACTATACAAAATAATAACTACACTAGCACAATATGCAGAGAAAGCAAACATAGTCAACTTTCCATCTCACTGCCTTGGGCCTAAGAAGGAAATGGATCTCCTCTGCTCTTTATGCCCTTGAGTGGGGAAGGACGGCACAAGGATATCTAGGATCAGACATGGCCCCAACAGACAGTGCAGGCCAAGAGCATCCAGTCTCCCATGCAGGGGAACCAAGAGTGAAATCCGTGTGGACAGTCACTCAAAGAGGAACTAAATGTTTGTTGTAGTTTTGATGGACAGGATCTAGAAATTAAGACCAGATCTAGCAAAGGCTTGCAGATGTGACTTCAGTGGGACTACTGCATAAATCTTTACAGGATCAGATGTTAAAATTGAAAACATGGTTACACTGTGAACTTTATTTATGTTTAAATGAGTGGACAACTGCATGCAAGAGAGAAAACAAGTTGTCCTACAAAAATACATGTTTATTTTTTTGTTGCGTAAAATGAGTGGATTCTGTACAGCAAAGCAAAACTAAAACTTGTAAATGTGTCGGGGAAGGTCAAAACATTTTCAGCATCAGTTCAAGGGGATCCCTTGATGATAACCGTTTATAGCAGTGGGTCAATTTCTTAGTGTAAACTGGGTGTGACAGGTAGGGTTGCCAGATGTTCAGTTTTAGACCAGAAAGTCCAGTCGAAAAGGAGATTTGGAAGTGTTCAGTCTGCCCTCCAGTATGCCCTCCATCCTCTGCCTCAATTTTCCTGCCCCAGCCCCTTATTCCGGGGACTGACACCCCCCCCCCCCCACAAACCCCACTGTGCCCCCACCCCAGCCTCCGACTCTGGGGACTAATCCCCCCTCCACCCTGCTGTGGCCTGATTGTCCCCGCCGTGGCCCCTCACTCTGGGGACTGATTCCCCTCTTCTGCCCCACTGTGCCCCCAATACCTCTCCCCATCCCCTTGCTGCAGGGACCGACCCCCCTCTCTGCTCCACTGTCTTCCAATGAGAGGAAGGTTCAAAGAAAAAAAATCACATTGCTCTTATGGGGTTCCCAAGTAGGGGCAACAATTAGAGGTTGGTTCATGCCCCAAACTAAGGTTCATAGCCTTTTAGATATCCCCTCCACCAGGCTCCCAGAGACTTGCCACTCCACCAAGATGACCATGTCACTCATCTCCAACATGGCCATATCCCCCGCATGATGCAGGAGAGTGGAGCATGCTTTGAAGATGCAACTGAGAATGTCATTACAGCAATAAACCTAAGAAACTACAAAATCCAAAAAAATAACCCCCACAATGCATTTCTCCTACTAATTTGATCTGGAATATTTAATACAAGTTTGACTTTTCAGACAATGCCCAACTGCATTTTATTAATCCTCCTGATTTTTTAACCCAATTTAAAACCAGCTATCCTTACAGAATATGTAGAATTGTACTGAACTATGCATTGTGGTGCTCCCATTGTGCCAGATGAATACAAAGGCTGAGCAGGGGGCACAGTCTTGGAGAAAGAGGCAGACCAGGAGCAGGGCCTCAGGGGGAAGAGGTCGGGCAAGGGGTGGGGGCAAGGATGTCCGATTTTCAGCAGTTAGAGAGTTGACAACCCTAGATCACTCCTGGGCTCATAGCCAACATTTGCTGGGTCCCCAGTTATGTAAACAAAACAAAAGGTTTTCATTTGGCTGTTACCGCTTCAGATGGGCCACCACCTGCTGCCGTCTTACCCAGCAACAACAAGCAACGCATTGGTAGCAAATCACCACAATAGTCTTGCATCCTGCCTACCTTTCCTCAGGGAGGCCCTGACAGGCATCAGTCTCTCAAGCAGGCTTCTCTCATGAAGTGAGAGCTGGAGTTCTGCTCTCCTTCCCTGCAGGCTGAGCTGGGCTCTCCATCTTTAACCCCTCCCTCCAATCCTGATGCCTCCTGCAGACTCAGCCCACAGCAGTTCATTAACTCTTTCCTAGTCAGTGTGAGGTTTGTATCTGCATCACACTGGGTTTTACTGGCAAAAAGTGCCACAATCACTAACAGATAATTCAGTCCTTTTCTTTAAACACTGTATCAAATAAAACACCATCAAGTACACAAATTTTTACCAACCTGTAGGATTGCTCTTTCAGGTATATTTGATATTTCATCTTTGACTGTTTCTGAGGTAGAAGAATATTGTACATCATCCTGTTTATCAAAATATTCTTCCTGGTCTCCTTTTACCAAACGCTGAAAAAAATAACACAACAGAAGTATCCTTATCCAGATTAAAGTGTCATCTTTTCTTGTAAACTGAATATGTTCTGAGATATATTAAAAAGACCCAACTAATATATCAACATTTCTAAATTAAATTAGTTTTTTTAATTCATGTAGATTTATAAATCTACTTAATAAAATAACAACAATGCATATTACTCCAACAATATCATGATGAAGTTCATGAAGTATTTTACAAATACGTGTACTGTGCATTTTAGAACACCTGTTTTACAATAGTTTGTACATACAGTTCAGTAGAAATATCGTTATTTGCTGTGTAAAAAAGAAGAAGAAGGGGAAGATGGAAGCAAGAGAAAGAGAAGGAAAATGGGAAAGGGAGATTAGGAAGAAGGAAAGAACAGGTGAAGAAAAGCGGCAGTTTTAGATTGTGCCTTTCCGCCATGAGCACAGTTATTTTTCAGGCAGCAGTTTGTGTATCTCTGGCTTTTTTAAATTATTTCCTATTATAATTTAAGACTTAAAGGAGCCCAGACTTACCAAAAGTGTGGTCTGAAAAAGGCTCCTGGCTAGGGGAGCCAAGAAGTCAGTTAACGAAGTATCTCACCCCAGGGATTCCCATCAGTGGAGCTACAATGGAAACTAACGCTGTCCACAAAGGATTCACACCTTCTGTCAATATTAACTAATGTTTGAACAAGACTGTCAAAAATTGAGTTAGCTGACATAATGCTGACCACAACTTAGCAGTCAGTGAAGACTGGGACAAATCACATTCAGCATTGTATCATGGCTTAATTATGGTTAACTGATACAATGTCTGAGCATGATTTGTCCTGGTCTACAGTGACTGCTAAGTCATGGTCAGCATCATGTCAGTTAATTTGTATCTTCAGAATTGTGTTCAAACACAATAAAATATTGTAATGCAGACAAACATACTAAAACAGAGACAGAAACACTGTCTGTCCCTCTTGAAGTAATGGGTTTTGCTGGCAAAGAAGGGAGTACTTGACACCTCCCTGACCCTGCTTTGCTTAAATTGGCCTATACTTTTTAAAAAATATTAAGTTACCTTTTAATTGCAGTTGAAAAGTATTCTGTTGATGGAAAATTTCCCTTATGTTTATAATATCACAAACAATGGAAGCACTCAGAATATATTTTTAGAGCGGTGAAAGTCTGAGAACATAATTTTTAAGAATCATAAAAACTGCAACCCTGCAAAGCAACTCCAGCATTAACAGGGTTTCATGTTTAACAACTTTGCACAGGGCTTTGAAAATGCACAGTGTTACTTAAGTACTAAGTAACCACAGTGGTAGCAGTAGCATGGCAGAATGGCTCATTTTAATTTTATGTACCTAGGACTGCTTTCCCACCGCAGCTTCAGTTCATGGAGATCTATTGTTTAATCATTCAGCATGTAATATTTACAATTCTGTGTTCTGTACCTCAAAATATGCTTTTGTTTTTGCCGAACTCTGAGCCTCTGCATGCCACGCCCTTAGGATAGTTCTGCACAAATTGTCATTAAAGACCTTTTGTATCCTCATTGCTGCCACTAGAAAAAATTTATTCGATTACAAAAGTTATGAAAGCAAGGACCTCATTTCTGAATAAATGTTTCAGTTAAATGCCTCTGATGAAATGCAATTCTGTATACAACCAGCTCTACAGATTTATAACTGTCCACAACTATGTTCTTTATAATGAAACAAGCAGCAACAACACTCTCACAGTATATGTACTGGTTCATACAAATACACTAAGTTACCAGGAAAAGCAAAAAAGTGTTATATGATCTTATTTTAATAGCTATCTATAAAGGTATGATTAATCTGCAAGTTGGATCTGCCAAAAACCAGTAAGTTCACCAATTCTTAAATTCCAGAACAAGTAGCAAGTTTGAAGAGGCTGTCAGAGTGGAGAAAAAAATGTACGCTGTCCTCAGTGAAATGGAACAGGACATAACTCACTCGCTCATTTTACATGTAACATTTTGAGAGCGGGAAGGTTCAAGAATAATAAAGGCAAATTAGTGTTTTCAATATACCGGTAATTCAAAAATGTAGTCTTAACTTAATCTCTATGAAAGTTTTGTTTTATATTTCATATTTTAAATGCTATAGTTCCTTGTCCAGTATGTCAGGTCTGTATTTTTGATTTAAAGATCTGATTTTTAATAACTTGAACTAGTTTCAGAATGGAAATGGTTTAAAAAGGACTGTTGAACTACACATTATTATAAAACTGGTAGATTCTATCTCTGTATCATCGTGATTACCCGCCAAAGAATTTTCTTAAAAGCTGTCACTTTCCTTTCCAACAAAAATTCTTGTATCTTTTATACTGGGTTTATATGCAGCTTGTTATTTGGTGTATTTTTCCTTTAAAATTACATATTTTTCAAAGGATTTTAAATAATTTTTATACTTAAGACACTGTTCAAATATATGAGCCAAATTCTGTTCTCTGGTTGGTATGGGTACCAACATAAGTTCCACCTGTATCTGAGAGCAGAATTTGGTATTTGATTTCCAACCCTGCAAACTCTAACTCACCCCAGTAGTTCTTGCTCACATGAGCAGTCACATTTAACTCAACAGGAGTATTTGTTTTAAGGAAAGACTAATCCTGCAAGAAGAATTCTCAATTGTACATTTTGATATTTTAAATATATCCTAAAAATGTCCACACTAAATTTATGTCACTGTTTTACACATACAAACTAAATAGTCTTGAAAATCAAAATGAATAAACTGAACAATTTAGAATACCTTTAAACTATTTACCTGGTCTTTGGGTCACAAGAACTCTTACAAATTAAACGGTTTATAAATAACTCAATGACCTTTCAAAAGTCATGCAGATGTCACACAGCAGAATTTGATATGAACCTAAATTATACCAGCTCTGCAACCAGGGTTTTGACGTTACTGTTTAAAAACAGATCTTCTATTATAGCAGTCCTGACACTAGACCTTAGAATTATATCTTTAAGAAACAATTTCATGTCTTATTTTTCACTAAACTCAAAACTCCAAAAATAATTTTATTCAAGAAAAAACCTATTCTCTCTGCATTGAGACATACAAGATCTATTTTTGTCCTGAGAAAATTGCAAATACTTACAATAATCTAAAACCCTGTGAATAACTGAGTATGCAAAGTTATTAATGAGCTGCATGCACAAAAGAGTTCAAAGACTCACCGCTCCTGTGTTGCTCAAATACTATTAAGCTTATAGCATATAAATTGTATTTTTGTTTATGCAAAGCAGCTTGCAAGACTTACATACTATTTGTTCCTTGCGAAACTGTGCCCAAGCTCTCCACTTCTGTACTACTACTCTCGTTATTCTGGTGTCATAATGGTCTGCTGCAACAGCCATCTTCTGCTTTATAAGTTCTCTACTGTTTTTTTGCAACAGACAATATTGCATCCATTCACTGCAATGTTAAGGCAAAGTTAATAATTGTATTAATGTGGTTTCTGACTTGGATGGAATAAAATGCATAAAACTCTGCAACTTAATACAAAGCACATGGAAGATAGTTTGAGCCTTTAAGTTTATGTTGATCAGTTTAAGTCACAGGATGGTGGTTATTTCAAGGGTGATATATTTCAATAATAGTTCCTCCTAGCCGTACCAATTGGAATAAAGTTTCTGCCTTCGATTAATAGGTTACATCATCAGTTTGTAAAATATCTCACTGATCTGATTCTATTCATTACTTGCTCCAGCTAGTATGTGATTATTGAGGTCCTGATTCAAGAAAGTATCTAGTTCAAGAAAGGCACTTAAGCACATGAAAGCAATGGAACTTAAACACATGCTTAATGTTAAGCATGTGTATAAGCAATTTCCCAAATAGTGATGGATTTAAGCACATGCTTAAGTGCTTTCCTGAACTCGAGTTTAAAAATGTTATTTAAGTTTCTTTGGCAATGTGAATAAAAACTAAAATGAAAGAAGAATATAAATCAACATTTTAAATCTAAACCATTTTATCCTTCCACAAAAATATATTAAACATTGTTCTTGCTCTCTTAAGTGACACAGAAGTATTCAGAGCCCAAAGAGAAATATTTTCTCAAAGAATCACACATCATTTATTACAGGGTAACAAGGTAATCACCGGGTAACAAGCCTTGTGGATGCGGGGAAGCCGTAGATGTGGTATATCTTGACTTTAGTAAGGCTTTTGATACTGTCTCGCATAACCTTCTCATAAACAAACTAAGGAAATACTACCTAGATGGAGCTACTATAAAGGTGGATGCATAACTCATTGGAAAATCATTCCCAGAGAGTAGTTATTGGTGGTTCACAGTCATGCTAGAAGGACCTAATGAGTGGGGTCCCACAGGGATCAGTTCTGTTCAATATCTTCATCAATGATTTAGATAATGGCATAGAGAGTACACTTATAAAGTTTGCGGATGATACCAAGCTGGGAGGGGTTGCAAGTGCTTTGGAGGATAGGATTAATATTCAAAATGATCTGGAAAAACTGGAGAAATGGTCTGAAGTAAATAGGATGAAACTCAATATGGACAAATGCAAAGTACTCCACTTAGGAAGGAACAACCAGCTGCACACATACAAAATGGGAAATGACTGCTTAAGAAGGAAAACTGTGGAAAGGGATCTGGGGATCATACAAGCTAAATACAAGTCAACAGCGTAATGCTATTGCAAAAAAAGCAAACATCATTGTGGGATGTATTAGCAGGAGTATTGTAAGCAAGACACGAAAAGTAATTCTTCCGCTCTACACCACGCTGATTAGGCTTCAACTGGAGGATTGTGTCCAGTTCTGGGTGCCACATTTCAGGAAAGATGTGGACAAATTGGAGAAAGTCCAGAGAAGAGCAACAAAAATGATTAAAGGGCTAGAACACATGACCTATGAGGGAAGATGGAAAAAACTGGGTTTGTTTAGTCTGGAGAAGAAAAGACACAGGGGATATGATAACAGTTTTCAAGTACATAAAAGGTTATTACAAGGAGGAGGGAGAAAAATTGTTCTTCTTAACCTCTGAGGATAGAGCAAGAAGCAGTGGGCTTAAAATGCAGCAAGAGAGGTTTAGGTTGGACATTAGGAAAAAATTCCTAACTGTCAGAGTGTTTAAGCACTGGAACAAATTGCCTAGGGAGGTGGTGGAATCTCCATCATTGGGGATTTTTAAGAGCGGGTTGGACAAACACCCATCAGGGATGGTCTACATAATAATTAGTCCTGCCTTGAGTGCAGGAGACTGGACTAGATGACCTCTCGAGGTCCCTTCGAGTTCTATGATTCTATATTGTTTATTAATTATAGTACAGTATTTTTCTTTGTCAGAGCAACAAGAAAGATAACCACTTAAATGAGGCTTTCTGACAGCCCTTTTATTTGCCAAAAAATCCCCAATTTGGAAGCAAAATGTAATTTAATTGAACATAGCTGAGAGCAACTGTAAATGTAACATTTTATGGTTCTAATCCAACTCCCATTGTAAAGTCAGATAACAGTAAAACCTGAAATAATGGAGCAGCCTTATGATTTTTCCTAAGATGTTTAACCATTTTGATTATCATAATTATACATCAGACACATGCACTATTCTCCACTCAAAAAGTAATAACCTTATCTCCCCTAAATGTTAGTTCCAATGGAAAACTTGGACATTTGAGATTCCTGGCCACAGTGAAGTGATTTTTGATTAACGACTAATTCATTCAGAATGCAGGTACCGTATATACTCATTCATAAGCCAAATATTTTTGGTAAAAAAATGACGGTGGTCAGCTTAAGAGCGGCGGTCAGCTTATAAAAGAGCGGCGGTCAGCTTATAAAAGGGTCTACACCAACATTTGATCATTTTAAATTCTATGGAACCATTGAATTGAATATCTAATACACTGTCATTTTGTTTACCTGGAGCGTCCGCAGGCATGGAGCCCCTCAGCTCCCTGTGGCCGTGGTTCGCCCTTCCCAGCCAATGGGAGCTGCGGGAAGTGGCGTGCCACTGTTCTTCTCTTCATTGGCAGGGAACGGCGAACCGCAGCCACTGGGAGCTGAGGGGATCTGTGCCTATGAACGTTCCAGGTAAACAAAACGTCCAGGCCCACTAGCGGCTTACCCTAATGGGCTTACCCTCATGGGCCAGGAACCAAAAAGTTTGCCAACCCCTGAAATATAGGGTCGGCTTATGAAAGGGTCATAGAGTTTTGCTATTTTTACCTATCCATCTTGGGGGGTCAGCTTCTAAACAAAGGGCTAATGAACGAGTATATATGGTAAATATTTATATATATCTCCCTTTTACAGAGAGAGAAACTGAACCATGGAGAGAATGAGCCAACTGCCCGAAGTCACAAAGGAAATCTGAATAAGAGCCAGGAAGGGAACCCAGACCCTTGACTCCCAGTCCTGTACTTAACCCTATCCCAAAATATCCTGTCTCCATTGGGATTTAAGTACTCTGGCAAGATTAAGCTATATGAGAGGCTGTTCAGGGAAGGCCTGGTCCAAAACCCACTGAAGTCAAAAGACTTCCACTGATTTCAATTAACTTTGGATTGGGCCTGGAATTTACAGGCACTCTGAGCTCACTACAATTTGAATACAAAACAACATTGCTAAAAAAGAGAAAAACCAAATAATTTAATTTGGTCATCTTGCTTCTGTTTGTGACGCTGGCAGTCCAGGTGCCAGCTCATGCCAAGGCCCCAGGCCTCACTGATTGTTGACAAATGCATAGCTGGAAACCAGTCTGGTTTACCTGTGGGTTAGTATCGTTAAAACAGATATTAGTGTTATAAAAATGCGTTTAGTGCTCAGACTTTACGAAATGCTTGTAGAATGCTGCATGCATTAATCCTACTTATATCTGTATCCCATGCTAAAAGGAAATCCTTAAGTATTTGCTCTATAACTGTAAAATGTTTGTTCTAAAACTATGTAACTCACCAACCAGGAAAAAAATTTCAAATAATGCAAAATCCTGGATTCCTGTAGAAGATGTTATCTCCCACTCATCAGCAAGGACTATTAAATCCATACGAGCCACTGTGGAACAGACTTTGTTGATTGCTCCTCCCACCCACCCATGAAGAGGTTACGTGCAGAAGCGCTTGGCCCATCAGCCTGCACTCTAGAGAAATGGGGTTAAAAGTCCCTGACCAGAGGGAATTAGGGTCTCTTTATGCTTTCTGGACTCTGAGGGGCAAAGATTCCTAAACATAAACAAGAGATCCCCAAGATGCTTGTCTTGAATTAGCCCCAAAGGACATAAAATCTCGCTTATTATAAAAGCTTCTATTCCCTTTTGAATTTAAGATTGTATCTCATTTGTGGATGTATGCTTAAATGCTTTAGCCTTGTAAATAACTCTCATTTCTTTTTCATAGTTAATAAACTTTTAGTTATTTTTTTACAGGACTGCCTACAAGTGTTGTCTCTGGTATGAGACCGAAGGTGCAAACTGACCTGGAATAAGTGACTGGTCCTTTGGGACTGAGAGTAAACTGAATATGTTGTGATCTTTGATGTAAAGTGACTATCTGTCACAGAGTCAAGCTTGTCTGGGTGGCAAGATAGATCAGAATGCCCAAGGGGTCTGTGACTCCACGTTAAGGCTGTATAGTGCCTGAGGAGTTTACAATTGTTATTTGGTTGGTGAAATCTAAGTATAGAACTCACAACCAGTTTGGGATGTGTGCCCTGCTTACCAGTCTGCCCTGAGGTTGGTATTCTTAGTCGTGAACCACTCCAGACAACGTTCAAACTAATTACAATGAAAACCACCTTTTTCTGCAATAACACTAAATATTCTAGACAAAAAGGATTTTTTCCTAAAAATTCAGTATTCTCCATGTACAGAATGTATACTTACTGAAAGTACAGTTTCTTTAAGTTTTTGCTGTAAAAGTTCCATGCTTTGCCACATAACTCTTCAGTCATCTAAACAAATAATTTATTATATTAATACACAAATTTAAAAATGGTGTTGCATAGTGAATGCTTAAAAAATAGCCAAAAAAACCTGGCAGTTTTATTTTCCATATTGATCAATGCAAATTAAATGGTACAGTCCAAAGAAATGCATGTTCAGATACACAGAAAAATTTAATAGACAGAAAATTGTATCTTTCTTCCCCTATCAACTTTTTTCAATATAAACCTGCTTTTACAGGCATAAAATCTGAAGGTAAAAACTAACTATAGAACTGAACTGTATGTACGAAGAAGGCATTAATCAAGCTCATTGTCAGCACTTCTTCCCCAAAATTCACTGTTTTACTGATAAAATATATTAAATTGCTAGAAACATTCTATCTTTTACTTTGTGGCTTGCTAGAATTTAATAACCTTATTAGGGCTGTCAAGTGATTAAAAAAATTAATAGTGATTAATCATGCCGTTAAACAATAACAGAATACCGTTTATTTAAATATTTGTTGATGTTTTCTACGTTTTCAAATAGATTTCAATTACAACACAGAATTCAAAGTGTACAGTGCTCATTTTATACTTATTATTGATATTTTTATGGATCTATTTAAAATGCACTCTTCCAAAATCTTGGGTACATGTAAAGATTTTTTCTGTAATTTCATAAATTATACAGGACGACAGCCCAATTCTAAAAAACGTTCTTCATTTCCTTTGCCAATTACCTTAATGTTCTTATTTAGTAGAATCAGTCAAACCAAATAATACACAGAAAATCATGAAACTGAAACTGGGTCCAGATGCACTTGGAAAGATTGTAACATAGAAGTAAGTTCATTATATTGGTAATTCTGTCCAATTTTGATAAAGATGCTACCATTTTTGGTGATCTACCATATGCATGGACAACATGCCAATATGAAGATGTACATTTTGAAAGATCATAAAACTAGCATATAGAAACAAATGCAAGGTACCAACATTCCTTCACATAAACTACAACAGAAATGGCAGAATCATGAAATAAACTTGAAGGCACAATTAAACCCTTCTGTAGTGAAAGATATTTTTAAAGTAAAGATTCAGTGAACTTGCTCAGTGATGGTTACCAGCTGTTCATCATTTAGTCCAAAAAGGATGTGCAAATATGTTTCTGAAATCCTCTTTAATTTTGGCCTGAAGGATGAATCAATACATGTATCCCTGCAAAACAAATAAACAAAAAAGCAAATCATGTAAACCACATTACTAACACCGAAGGAAAATTAATCTCCTCTCTACAGCTAAAAGAAAAGGAGTACTTGTGGCACCTTAGAGACTAACCAATTTATTTGAGCATAAGCTTTTGTGACCTTTAAGCTTTCGTACTCCTTTTCTTTTTGCAAATACAGACTAACACGGCTGTTACTCTGAAACCTGTCTCTACAGCTAATGAATTATTACAACATTACACATACCCTTAGTTAATACCCTTACTACCTTCATTCCAACTGTGTTAACGAGCCAAAATTTTAAAATTATGTTCACCTACTACCTGTATATCAAAACAGATTACGTATGGTACTATGTTCAGAGATAGAGCTGAGTCATTTGGGGTCAAAATGTAAGCCATCTTTAAAAAGATATAACCTGATGGAAAATGCTCAAGTTACAAAATATTTTTCCACTCTTAATGCTGACTTTATTTTCAAACAGCCACTATTTATGTATGATTTACAGAACTTCATGCAATGTTTTCTGCTGCTGCAGAGCAGTCTGTGAGCATTCATAGGAAGTAAAAGTAATTAAAAAAAACGTAATCCCATAGCCAAATGAACAAAACACAGCCATGTTGATTTATACTTCCATGACAAACACAGAAAAAAAAATAGGGTTTGTCAGAAGATAAAATCAATTGAAAAAGAAATTCTATTTTCAACCTTTTAAGAAGACATTAAAAATAACGGAAAGTAAACACAGAAGATCCCATAATTATGGGCCAACTGTTACATTTAGCTTCCAGTGAACATTAGGGGTGTGCAGAGTCCTATAATCCCATAAAGCCATGGTCCCCTAACTGTGGGGGGTGGAAGAACTTTCGGGAGGGCGCGGCAGGGCATGGGCCAGTCCACACGGTGGGTAGGGAAGAGAGCGCCACCCAGCCCTGCTCTGTCACCTGCTCCACTTTGACCCTGGTTCCAGCCCCAGCCACAGGCTCCTGGCCCTATTACCAGCTGTGGCTCCATACCTGGCACCAGCTGCAGTTCTGGCCCCAAACACGGCCCCACTCTCGGATGTGGCCCCCGGCCCTGACCGTGGCCAGGTAAGGGGGGGTACAGACAAAAAAGTTTGGGGACCACTGTCATAGAGAGCTCCAGTAGCGGGTTTAGTATGCAGAGAGACTGCACAAACAGCACCATCCATTGGTATGGTGCAATCTGCTCTATAGGTCAACTGGCCCATTCCATGGGCTGGTACAGATGGAGGTAGGGACACGGCCCCATCTCCTCCTCACGTCTCATCCCTTCAGAGTGAGGTGGGACCCTGATAGCATAGGGAAGCAGCAACTACTCCACGTGCTACTCCTGAGGGCATTCTGCTCCAAAAAATTAAAAATTCTGCACATAGTATTTTAAAATTCTGCAAGTTCTATTTGTCAATAAATACATGCAGAGGTTCCAGCATGGCAGTGAGGAGCACAGGCCACTGGCGGCACCCTGCACTCCCCACACCCTCACCCCAGGACACGGACTCAGCAATGAGGCTGCACCAGACCCTGACACAGCACAAGACCTGGGCTGCCCCAGAAACACCCTGGGGCCCTGCCCCTCTGTGCCAGGTGCACTAGATGTGGAGCAGGCAGGCTCAACCAGACAGGATCCAACTGTGAAGGGGTTCGATGTGGGGGGATCCAGGTGTGAAGTGAGAGGGTTCTGTGTGGGACAATCTGGGCACAGGCAGCTCAGTGGGGGGTCTACGTGTGAGGGGATCTGGATGCACAGAGGCTCGTTGGGGGGAGGGGGTTCCAGATGCAGGGGCAATGGGACTTTGCAGGGGCTTCCTGGTGAAGGTGTTTGGGGCTCAGCGGAGGGGTCTGGGTGTGGGGGGGTCTCAGCTAGGGGAGTGGGTGTTGGTGGGGTGGAGTCTGGGTGCAGGTAGTTGGCGGTCAGAGGTGTGGGTGTTTAGATGTGGGGTGGGGGTCTGGAGGCAGGGGGTCTGGGTGCAAGGGGCTCCAGATGCAGGGGTTGAGGTTCAGTGGGGTGGGGTTTGGGTATGGAGGGCTGGGGGGGGGGGGGGGTTGGATGTATCGGGTGAGGCTTGGCAGGGGTGTCTAGGTATGGAAGGTCTGGATGCACAGGGGTTGGGAAGATGGGGGAGAAGCTCCCCATGCAGTGACCCCTCCCCCACCACAACTGAGGAGTGATGGGGGCAGGAAGCAGACCAGCCCCACAGTGATTTACCTCTCTGCCAGCTGCCTGAAATGTGGTACCTGTGCTGCTAGGGAGTGGTGTGTGACTGCTCTTGCAGCTTCCCTTTGCTTCCCTGTCAGAAAGTCATTTTTTTGCAGGGAAACAAAGAAATCTGCAAGGGACATGAATTCTGTACACATGCAGCGACAAAGAATTCCCCCAGCAGTAATGTGCAAAGACTACAATTGTGCATGACCCTTGCACAGGGAATGTAAGGAGAGAGGTTCCATTAATATTTCCCCTCCCGACTGTGTACCTGCACATGGGCCAGTCGCAGCCTGGCCCTATGAAATCAAAGCCACTTTTCTCCATTATCTTCTGCTCCCCCCTCTCCTTTTGCCATCTTTAGTCCCCTAACTTCCCTAGCTGCTGTCTAAATATGAGCACCAACGTTGTCTTTTTTGGCCTGATATGCTGAGGTGCTGAACACCTCCATTTCCCACTGACTTCACTGGGTGTTAGCATGCTCAGCACTTCACAGGAACAGTCCTTTAGTAAATAGGATGCATCAGTGACAGCAGATGCATTGAAGCAGAATCCTGAGAAACTGCATGTTATATAGTCATCCAATCTGTCTACATAAGATAAACTTTAATACAAATTGATTTAAAACCAATCCAGCTCTCCTTCTTCAATAAAATTCCCACTGGCCTCCAGAATGTAAGCCTTTGTAGAGAGTGTTACTAACATCTTAGTCAACAAAAATGCTCATTTTCTCTTTTTTTCCCTACATCTGTTCTTTCTTTACACTATCATCTTAGAAGAGGGATACAATATCTGAGGCTTTCCTACAGATTATTTTATAGCTCAATTTAATCATTATGGTAGTTTAACATTCCAGGTTTCATTATTGCACTCATTATCTCAAGGAATGAAGCTGTACACCTGGAAAAGCTCTACTTGGTATAAAACACAGGTCACCAAGAGCACATCAGACTGCTTCTCTGCTCTCTGAATTGGCTCCCCAAAGAAAAGAGTCTAGTTGAAGATCTGTCCTAATATTCAAAGCCCATATAGATTGGACTTAAGTACCTCAGAGATCACCTCTTCACAAGCATGACTTCACATGAATTATACTGGAACCATGAAACTATTCACCTATAAGTGAAGGATCTTGAATGAGGAGACAGGACTTTCATAGGAGCTGGACCTACATTATGAATTTATTTTCACAAAAGGTAAGTACAGCTCTGGGGCCTCACCATGTTCAAAACTGAATACAAAACTCATCTTGTCGACTTGGCTTTCCCACAACAAGCTAATCATACACACATACACTCTCTGTCTCTCACACCACAAACTATAAACTAATCAAGATATTTCGCCTACACACTGGGAAGGAGAAAAGTAAAAGAGAGCAAGTCGGACTGTAATTGTGATTTCTATTTTGAAGTACTTGGAAGGCACTCAAATACTATAGTGACAGCTCCAATATATATTTAGATAGTTAGTTATTAGGGCCCAATCCCACCTCCAACAAAGTCAGTAGAAAAATTCCCTTTGGCTGCAGGGTGAATGAGATTAGCCCCTTAGCATGTAGTTTCTTTTCCCTTACTGTGATGCCTAAGTTTCAAAGAGAGAGAGAGGTGAGAAATAAAAAAGGGAAAATAATTCTATGAGTAATTCAATACATTGAGAGCCACTTCCTTAGGTGGTGTAAATCAACACTGACTTCAATGAAGCTATGCCAATTTACACCAGCTGGGGATATAGCCCATAATAACAATGAGGAGTCCAGTGGCACCTTAAAGACTAGCAGATTTATTTGGGCATAAGCTTTTGTGGGTAAAAAACCCCACTTCTTCAGATACATGGAGTGAAAAATTACAGACACAGGCATAAATATACTGGCACAAGAAGAGAAGGGAGTTACCTTACAAGTCGAGAACCAATGCTGACAAGGCAAATTCAGTCAGGGTGGATGTGGTCCACTCCCAATAATTGATGAGGAGGTGTCAATACCAAAAGAGGGAAAATTGCTTTTGTAGTGAGCCAGCCACTCCCAATCCCTATTCAAGCCCAAATTAATGGTGTTAAGTTTGCAACTGAATTGTAGCTCTGCAGTTTCTCTTTGAAGTCTGTTTCTGAAGTTTTTTTGTTGAAGGAAGGCTACTTTTAAATCTGTTATTGAATGTCCAGGGAGACTGAAGTGTTCTCCTACTGGCTTTTGTATGTTACCATTCCTGATGTGAGATTTTGTCAATTTATCCTTTTAGGTAGAGACTGTCTTGTTTGGCCAAGGTACATGGCAGAGAGGCATTGCTGGCACATGATGGCATATATCACATTAGTAGATGTGCCCGTGAATCATAGAATATCAGGGTTGGAAGGGACCTCAGGAGGTCATCTAGTCCAACCCCCGGCTCAAAGCAGGACCAATCACCAACTAAATCATCCCAGCCAGGGCTTTGTCAAGTCTGACCTTAAAAATATCTAAGGAAGGAGATTCCACCACCTCCCCAGGTAACGCATTCCAGTATTTCACCACCCTCCTTGTGAAAAAGTTTTTCCTAATATCCAACCTAAACCTCCCCCACTGCAACTTGAGACTCCTCATTCAGTCATCAGCTACCACTGAGAACAGTCTAGATCCATCCTCTTTGGAACCCCCTTTCAGGTAGTTGAAAGCAGCTATCAAATCCCCCCTCATTCTTCTCTTCTGCAGACTAAACAATCCCAGTTACCTCAGCCTCTCCTCATAAGTCATGTGTTCCAGTCCCCTAATAATTTTTGTTGCCCTCCGCTGGATGTTTTCCAATTTTTCCACATCCTTCTTGTAGTGTGGGGCCCAAAACTGGACACAGTACTCCAGATGAGGCCTCACCAATGTTGAATAGAGGGCAATGATCACGTCCCTCGATCTGCTGGCAATGCCCCTACGTATACATCCCAAAATGCCATTGGCCTTCTTGGCAACAAGGGCACACTGTTGACTCATATCCAGCTTCTTGTCCACTGTAACGACTAGGTCCTTTTCTGCAGAACTGCTGCCGAGCCATTCGGTCCCTAGTCTGTAGCGGTGCATGGGGTTCTTCCGTCCTAAGTGCAGGACTCTGCACTTGTCCTTGTTGAACCTCATCAGATTTCTTTTGGCCCAAACCTCTAATTTGTCTAGGTCCCTCTGTATCCTATCCCTACCCTCCAGCGTATCTACCTCTCCTCCCAGTTTAGTGTCATCTACGAACTTGCTGAGGGTGCAATCCACACCATCCTCCAGATCATTTATGAAGATATTGAACAAAACCGACCCTTGGGGCACTCCACTTGATACCAGCTGCCAACTAGACATGGAGCCATTGATCACTACTCGTTGAGCCCGACAATCTAGCCAACTTTCTATCCACCTTATAGTCCATTCATCCAGCCCATACTTCTTTAACTTGCTGGCAAGAATACTGTGGGAGACAGTGTCAAAAGCTTTGCTAAAGTCAAGGAACAACACATCCACCGCTTTCCCCTCATCCACAGAGCCAGTTATCTCGTCATAGAAGGCAATGAGATTAGTCAGGCATGACTTGCCCTTGGTGAATCCATGCTGACTGCGCCCCTGATGGGGTGGCTGATGTGGTTGGGTCCTCTAATGATGTTGCTAGAGTAGATATGGGGACAGAGTAGGCAACAGGATTGGTTCCTGGGTTAGTGTTTCTGTGGTGTGTAGTTCTGGTGAGTATTTGCTTCAGGTTGGGGGGCTGCCTGTAAGTGAGGACTGGCCTGCCTCCCAAGGTCTGTGAGCGTGAGGGATCATTTTCCAGGATAGGTTGTAGATTGTTGATGATGTGCTGGAGAGGTATTAGCTGGGGGCTGTACGTGATAACTAGTGGTGTTTTGTTATTTTCCTTGCTGGGCACAACAAGTGGGGTTTTTTACCCACAAAAGCTTATGCTCAAATAAATCTGCTAGTCTTTAACGTGCCACCGGACTCCTCGTTGTTTTTGTGGATACAGACTAACACGGCTACCCCTCTGATACATAGCCCATAATGTTTATCTCAAAATAAAGAGCTCACTAAATATATATTATAAACAGAAATATAATATTAAATACATTTAGTAAATACTCTGTGGACAATTCAAATAAAAATAGACAAAGGAAATATATCTTGTATGTTTTTAGTACAAAAATCTCAATATTAATCAGTCCATTTGTAATGTGCTATTAATCTCTGGGCATGAGAGATATTTATTTTGCAGGTGATAGTAAATGCAACATTAGTGCTGTTTTAAAATTGACATTTCAGTATTTTACAGCACATAGAACACACAAAAACATTTGATAAGTACCATAAAATACCATCCAGTTCCTTCTCCATTATTTCTCTGATCTTTTCTTCTAAAAACTTAAGTGGATCCTCTGGACACACAATAAATACGCCACATAGTAGAGTCTGCAAAAAAGAAAGGACTAAATGAACATCTTTCATATGTCTGAAACTGTTATGCTAAACACAACTACCAAATCAACTTTAAATAATATAACATTTATACAATTCTTCTCTTTCTTTTATTTAATTCTTATTTTAAATGCCATAATGTATGTAACAGTATATTTCAAGTGGTAGCCCTCATGCCTCTGGTCATATCATAACAATAAAACATATGGCACTTCAATAGTACTTTCCACCCAAGGATCTCAAATTTCTTTAAAAGCATTACAAAATTATATCCCACAAATAACCTTGTAGGGTAGAGAAGATGTGGATTTGGGTCCTTCACCAGCAACTGATCCTATCATCAAATAGTTATAATGTTGCATTGCACTGATGGGTGGGGGTGGTTGCTTTTCAGCAGTGAGTTATAGGACTGGCTAGTTCGTTTCTCACTTATGAATAATGAACATTTTTCATATGGCTGATGTAAATGTAGAACAACAACTGTAATTTGACATTTAGATGGTTAAGCCAGATAATTGCGTCTGCAGTAACAGAGTGTATTGCTGTGATGCCTCCTTCGTATTTGTGAATGGGGCATTGAGTTATTTTGGTTCTACGGTCTATTCTGGGTGACCACAGTTGCACACTGGAGAGTCTTTAATTTTCCATTTGTGCAGCAAGTATCTGCATCTGCCATGGTTTGTGTGGATGCAGTTTAGGGTGGCCAATGAGCTTCGTTGGAGATCAAAGCCAGGGATCTTCTGCATTGAATCTTTCACAAGGTGTTTATTTGTGACTTCTTGTGAACGCCGTTCAGCTTTCCAAGCTTCATCAGGGTTGAAGTTGCATTGTTGAATGTTATATGCATGGGTCCAAAAGGGCTTCCATGATTTCAAGTGATAGTGAGAGACGTTTTTAAGCTCCTAGTGGATGGGAAGACGTTCATTTTCCATGATCCCCTGGAATTCTCAAAGGAACTAATTAATTATTCATTTTTTCACAGATTAAAAATGAACAAGGTTTTCTCAGTAGCACAGCCAAACAAGTACCTGATGAAGCAATGTATAGTTATCTGCCAAAATAAAGACATATTAGAGGACATACTAATGGACTCTGTCTTTAAGTATGGCATTGGCAAGAAAGATTAAATCAAACTCTATGAACTGATTACATTACGCACATGAGGACAAATTATGGCTATATGTACATAGCAATATCCCAGAACACCCATGAAAAGAGAGGAGCCCAGGGTAGAAATTTTCCATCATAACTGCACTCCTAAAACTGTAGGAGAGACCACCCTTCTGCAGATGACTATCCTAGGGCACAGTCTGCTCTTTATATAAATATTTCCCCAAGCCTGGCAGTGGAAAATATAGCTTTTGCCATTAAGAGGACAGGATTTGTCAACAGTCATCACACAGCAATAGCTGAAACACCAGAGATTTTTCTATGCTGAAAAATGGATACCCGGGTTTCCTAAGCTCTCCTCCTCTTTCCACTTGCTCCATCACTGTGGACAACACCATTCTCCATGTTATACAGGACTGTAATATGGATGTCATCTTTGACTCAACCCTGTCTCCATGTATAAATCTTGCCGCTTCATCCTATATAACATCTCTAAGAACTGACCTACCACCAAAACTCTCACTCAGGCTCTGCTAGTTTTGCATCCTGACTATTGCAGACCTCTGGCCTTCACCCCTGCAATCTCAGCTCCTTCAAGTCCATTCAAAATGCTATTGTTTAAATAATCTTTCTAGCTTGTCACTCTGATACCTCAAGCGCTTCTCCAGGCCCTTCTACTTACTTTCACTTAATCAGCACATCAGATACACATTTCTTGTCTTTACCTTTAAGAACCTTCCCCTTACATAGCTTCTCTGGTAACTTATCACAATGCCAGACACTGATATTCGCTGCCAATGTTCCTAATCTTTACTGCCCACCAGTCAGCTTCTTTCTCAAAGTTTCCTTCAAACATTTTCTTCCTTGAGCATGGGGAAAACTCAAAACAGCAAACAAACTTAAGGATTGTTTCTGTCACAATGCCTACAAAAGGCTGCCAGCTGACCAAAGATAGGAAGGTCATAAGCTGTGATTCTCTCTTTACTTTACTTTCATTTCCTATTTTATTCTTATATCTCATTCCTGCCATTCCTCTCACTCGAAAATAAAAAATAATAAAAACCCAACAAAACATGTAACTAACAAAACTGTGTCAATCATAACTATATTCACTTGCCTATATGCTATACCCAATCCTCACTATTTTGTCTTCTGGATTCTAAACTCTCCTGACCAGGGACTGTCTCCATCTGCCAGCACCCAGCACAATGGAGTCCTGATCCTGAGTGCAGCCTTTTGCCCACTATCATAATATAAATAACTAAAAATAAAATATCAATAATACTTAAAACAGGAAATAACTCTGGTAATGGTGATATTTGCTGACCAATGTCAATAGACAAACACACTATTCATTCATTCTCAAAATCAAAATAATCTTTACCAGGGAGGAGCAGGGTTGTATAAAGGGTCATTGCCAGTCAGAATATGGGTGTGCAATAAGACTGTTTTGTCAGCATAGATATAGTCTGCTTTTTAAGACATTTCCATAGGGAAGCAGAAATAAGGAATACAAGAAACAAAAGATAAGTAATGAAATATCTTTTTCTTTAATATATCAAACAACAAACAACGAACAACTTAAATTTACCCTGTTTGAATATTTTAGTAAAATAAATTATAAACTGATTCTAACTTAAGCTGCTACTGAACCTCACTAGTAAAAAGACAATCTCCAAGATGTATCCAGATGACAATAACTGGGTGCATGCAGCAATATCAACAAGTATTATAAATCCATCATTTATTATAATAATTACAATATAAATAATACGCTGTTAAGCAGAGTACTACATATGCGGACAATATAGTGACTCCCACATATCTATTCAGGGGACACCATCACAGGGCCTAATAACATCAGCCACACTATCAGAGGCTCGTTCACCTGCACATCCACCAATGTGATATATGCCATCATGTGCCAGCAATGCCCCTCTGCCATGTACATTGGTCAAACTGGACAGTCTCTACGTAAAAGAATAAATGGACACAAATCAGATGTCAAGAATTATAACATTCATAAACCAGTCGGAGAACACTTCAATCTCTCTGGTCACGCAATCACAGACATGAAGGTCGCTATCTTAAAACAAAAAAACTTCAAATCCAGACTCCAGCGAGAAACTGCTGAATTGGAATTCATTTGCAAATTGGATACTATTAATTTAGGCTTAAATAGAGACTGGGAGTGGCTAAGTCATTATGCAAGGTAGCCTGTTTCCTCTTGTTTTTTCCTACCCCCCCCCCCCAGATGTTCGGGTTTAACTTGGATTTAAACTTGGAGAGTGGTCAGTTTAGATGAGCTATTACCAGCAGGAGAGTGAGTTTGTGTGTGTATGGGGGGTGGGGGGATGTGAGAAAACCTTGATCTATGCAGGAAATAGCCCGACTTGATTATGTAAAGAGTTGTCACTTTGGATGGGCTAGCACCAGCAGGAGAGTGAATTTGTGTGGGGGGGTGGAGGGTGAGAAAACCTGGATTTGTGCTGGAAATGGCCCACCTGTTGATCACTTTAGATAAGCTATTACCAGCAGGACAGTGGGGTGGGAGGAGGTATTGTTTCATATTCTCTGTGTATATATAAAGTCTGCTGCAGTTTCCACGGTATGCATCTGATGAAGTGAGCTGTAGCTCACGAAAGCTCATGCTCAAATAAATTGGTTAGTCTCTAAGGTGCCACAAGTACTCCTTTTCTTTTTGCGAATACAGACTAACACGGCTGTTCCTCTGAAACCTTCACCTTAATACATTTTCCAAAAAGGACTTAAGGCTGTTCAAATACTCCCTCTGCTGGATTGAGCCAACAACAGTCTGCTAAACCAATTGCATTTTTCATAGATTTGGAGCTCTTTTATAGCTTTGCTTTTTACTTGAATGTGCACTCCTTTTCTTTCAGTGGATCTTCTAGGCATAGTATATGTACAAAAATTTGATTAAAGAAAATGCAAAATATCTCACCAAAAATTTAGAGCTGGGAATTCTTTTTTAAAAAACTGTACAAGAAATAACCAATTTATTTGAGCATAAGCTTTCGTGAGCTACAGCTCACTTCATCGGATGCATACTGTGGAAACTGCAGAAGACATTATATACACAGAGACCATGAAACAATACCTCCTCCCACCCCACTCTCCTGCTGGTAATTTCTTATTGTAAGGAGAGTGATCACTTTAGATAAGCTAAGGAGTACTTGTGGCACCTTAGAGACTAACCAATTTATTTGAGCATGAGCTTTCGTGAGCTACAGCTCACGAAAGCTCATGCTCAAATAAATTGGTTAGTCTCTAAGGTGCCACAAGTACTCCTTTTCTTTTTGCGAATACAGACTAACACGGCTGTTACTCTGAACCCTGTACAAGAAATGGTGTTTTACGGCCTGATCCTGCAACCCTTACTCATGTGAGTAATCCTTAATGATGATAATGCCCAACACAGATGTGAGAAAAACTGGGCCTAAACAGTACAAAGGTTGGCTGGTTCTTGTTAATTTCCCCAAGGTTCCAAGTAATTCAGGGGAGACCCATTACTTAACCTAAAGAAATAAGACTCAAGATATTAATAAAGTTTATAAATTAGGAAAGTTATCCCTAACTTTCAACAACTCAAATGAAAGCACAGTTACACATCATAAAACAGCTACCTCTCACTTAACATAACATTACCTAGCTAACAACAAAACAATCCAAAAGAATTCAAATTATCAAATTAAAATCAAGACAATGTCAAATAATCAGGCTAATTCTTATATGAACTCTATCTCTTCAATAACCTAGAAAGGTGCCCATCTGTTGTTTAACTTACAGTTCCACAAATTAAAGGTCTTTATTAATACCATCTAAACCTACGTTTTGTACATAGGGAAAAAGCCAGGAAAGAACAGCTGTTTTGCACGTGGCAAGCCTGGGAGGGAGGGGAGAGAAGCGGAGCAGCGGTGGCGTGCTCAGGGGAGCAGGCGGAGGCGGAGTGGAGGCAAGCTGGGGCGGCAGGGGCACATTTCTAGGGCGGCATGGCCGGCGCCGGAATGCCACCCCTAGAAACGTGCCACCCCAAGCACCTGCTTGTTTTGCTGGTGCCTAGAGCCGGCTCTGCCCGTAGTGTAGACAAGCCCCCAGATTCAAGCCATTAACATTTAGACTACAATTCCAACGTCAGTTAACCAAGGCCTCTTTTTTAAACTTCAGTTATAGTGTGGTGGACGATACTTTCCTTCACCCAAAATATACTCAGACAACACATATTACCAATACAATTAATAATAGACCCTTTACAATTACCTAATCTTAAGTAACAATTAATTTGTGCTTTTTTAGGATTACAACATTTGTTTTTAACATCTTGAAACAGTATAACACTCATTCATCTTTAAAGATGTTTGTGTAGGAACAGAGGAACCACTTCTCTAGGCTCCGTTTCTATGTGTTCAGTAATTGTTCAAAAATTGCATACACACACTTATTCACTCATTTACATTTGTTAAATAGAATGATATTATTAATCAGCCAGGTCACCACCTGAACTGATAAAAAAAAAAAAAAAAAAAGATTTTGTACTTATGACCAGGTAGTTTGCTTGCAAACTCTTCAGCTCTAACTGTCTTCCAGATCATTGGGAAGACTAGTACTACAGACAGAGAAATAACTAGTGAGGGTTTTGCTAATGCTGAGGGAAATTTCTAAGGCACAAAAAACTAGTGCCTAGGGTGACCAGACAGCAAATGTGAAAAAAGGACAGGGGTGGGGGGTAATGGGAGCCTATATAAGAAAAAGACCCAAAAATTGGGACTGTCCCTATAAAATCCAGACATCTGGTCACCTTACTAGTGCCTAACTCCCATTTACTTTCCATGGGAATTAGAGGGCCTAATTTCCATTTTAGCCTTTGAAAATCTCTCTCTGCTAGCAGGTTCTGGCCAATAGGATACCAACTGTGTGCTTGTCTAGCCGGACAAGTCTTTTGTTCACCCTTCTTGAAGGTAATAGATCTCAGGGTTCCGGAACTTCAGTCTGTCCTTCAGATATCAGGTAGTTCAAAAGCAATGTTAACAGTTGCATGTCTCCATCATTCCACCCAATGGCATCATTTGACACAGTTCTAATGAGATTTGAATTCAGTAATAGTCCCAAACATCATGAGCATTCTAGAATTAATACATGCCATCTGGGGACCATGTTAGTGATGCCTATTCTCAAAATTGTAGTCTTGTGATAGTTGATGTTCTACTTCAAGCCCCAGCTGCTGGAATCAAGAGATCATTTTAAATAACGAAAGCTGAGATTCTAATGCATGTTTCTAGCCCTTAGGGCTACAGAGAAAAGCTTGAAAATGTGAACCAATTGTACCCTAAAATGTGTGTGTTTAAGAAACCAAGGGTATCATCAAATATAGCAGTTATATTAGGTCACTTCATACAACCTGCCTCAGAAAAATCCTCTGTACCTTTTGGCCCAGAACAATCTCAAACCAAGATCTATTGACACAGTGCAGCCAAGGGGATCTGAGCACCATCATTACCAGGAGGCGTTGGAGATGGATTGGTCATGTGCTTTGGATGGAAACTGATTCCATCACCAGAGTAGCAATAAGATGGACACCTGAAGGCAAGCGAAAATGAGGACGCCTGAAAACAAAATGGCGAAGAGCTGTGGTAGCCGAGCTGAAAAACCTGGGGCACAGCTGGGGAACCATTGACGGACGTGCCAGAAACAGACAAGAGTGGAGGAGCTTCATCACTGCCCTAAATGCCAGAGGTGTAATAGGAACATGATGATGGTGATGCCAGAGTTAGCGGGCTAAGGGAGTAGCTGCTCTACAGTTACTCTGATTGCTCAAAACCTCTTTAGTAAAGTTTCCATGGCAATCCTGACTACAAGTTTGGTTTGAAGTAGATTATGAATACCCAGAAAAAGTGTCTCTCACTTTTATCATACATGGTGTCATTATTTTGTTTCTATTAAGGAAATTGAAATATGGCTTCTGCATAGTTTCAAATGATTTTCATAGGGAAAAAACTAACCAAAATAAAAAGGGTAGGAGAAAATCAGGTAACAATTCTAAAGCTAAAATTATATATTCATTTGACTATCCTTACAACATTCAAGACTTCAGATAAGTTTTCTCTCCCCTGCAATTCTTAGCACTATTATATGCAATTTCATTCACTAACACTAGGGATGGTGTCCCTAGCCTCTGTTTGCCAGAAGCTGGGAATGAGCAACAGCGCTTGGATCACTTGATGATTACCTGTTCTGTTCATTCTCACTGGGGTACCTGGCATTGGCCACTGTTGGAAGACAGTACACTGGGCTAGATGGACCTTTGGTCTGACCCAGTATGGCCATTCTTATGTTCTTATCTCACCAGTTTAATAAAAGACCTCAAGTCCCTGTTTACTGTTGGGATGTCCAACAGATGACCCACCAAATTCTAACATGGTCAATGGCCACCTTCATCTTTGATATAACTATGTATGTGCCATACAAATATTACAGGACACGGCATGCATTGCCCCAACTTGAGATAAGCACCAGGCTGCCCAGCATGCTATACTCTTACACCTGAAGTCTTTAACAACTGCATTTCTATATTACAGATGTAGGAGCCTGCAATCTTCTCCATTTTATGCAAATTAGGGATGGTGCCAATGAAGTCTACAACTAGGTAAAGGTTGGACACCATTGGGTTTAGTCTAAATACAGATAATGTAATTCAATTATCTATTCTTTTTCTTTGAAGTATTAAAATTCACAAACTGTTTGAAATTTGCTACTTTAATGCAGTGGTTCTCAACCAGGGGTTTGGGGCCCCCTGGGGGCCATGAGCAGGTTTCATGGGGTCCGCTGAGAAGGGTCAGTGGTAGACTCACTGGGGCCCAGGGCAGAAAATGCGGGGATGAAGCCCGGGGCATAGGCGCGACTCTGTGAGTGCTCCAAGGCTGGAGCACCCACAGGGAAAAATTAGTGGGTGCTCTGCACACACCGGGAGCTAAGCTCCCCGCCCCGCCCCACCTTACCTCCTCCTCGGCCTCCTCCCCTGAGCACGCCGCGTCCCTGCTCCTCCGCCTACCTCCCAGCGCTTGCTGCCGCCAAACAGCTGTAGCAAGCTCCGGGAGGGAGGGGGGAGGAGCGGGAACGTGGCGCACTCAGGGGAGGAGGCGGGGGAAGAGGTGGGGCCAGAGCGGGGATTTGGGGAAGGAGTCAGAATAAGGGCAGGGAGGAGGCAGAGTTGGGGTGGGGACTTTGGGGAAAGGGTTGGAAATGGGGCAGAGCCGGGAGGCAGAAGGGGGGGTCAAGCACACACCGGCGCCAACAGAAGTTGGCGCCTGTGGTCCAGGGCCCTGAACCCCTGGCATGGGGCCTCAGGCAATTGCCCTGCTTGCTATCCCCTAATGCTGGCCGACCCTGGATTTTATATGCAGAAAAACAGTTGTGGCAGTGGTGGGCTGTGGGATTTTTATAGCATGTTGGCGGAGGGAAAAAGGTTGAGAACCCCTGCTTTAGTGGAAGGGGCAGAAATGCTTATGGCTTTCCATGAACGCAGACACAGCACAACAAGAGGCCACAAATACCCTCCAGTTTTGGACAGAAAAACAAGTTAGTCAAATGCAAGGCCCAGTCCACACAGATTTTGGAGTGGTATAAGAATTGCTGTTCAGCATATGTCAGGGATCTGCAACCTTTGGCACGTGGCTCTCCAGAGGAAGCCCGCAGCCCCAGGCTGTTTACTTGCCGCCTCTGCAGGTTCGGTCGATCACGGCTCCCACTGGCCGCGGTTCGCCACTCCAGGCCAATGGGGGCTGCGGACAGCGGCGTCCAGCACGTCCCTCAGCCCACGCTGCTTCCCGCAGCCCCCATTGGCCTGGAGTGGCGAACCATGGCCAGTGGGAGCTGCGATCCGCCGAACCTGTGGACGCAGCAGGTAAACAAACCAGCCCTGCGCGCCAGGGGGGCTTACCCTGGCGGGCCAAGTCTACCAATTCCTGGGGTACGTTTTTCAACCAGAGTAGTTATAATGGGACAACCCCTAAGGTGGATGTAATTACAGGTAAGCACCCTCAAGTCCCACTGAAGTCAATGGGTGAGCCCCGGGCCCCGCTGGTGAACAGCCAAGTTGCCATCCCAATGATTTCAGAGGGCCCAGAACGGTAGCCTGGGTGAGCTGAAGTGGGCCAGCCCCGCTCCGGCCTGCGTTCGTGGCGGGACGTTACTGCTCCAGGGCCGGCGACTTCATCCTCTCCCGTGTCACCCTGCAAGCGGCAAGCTCCGGCAGGCGGCGCCAGGGTGTCGGTCCCGCCCTGTGACAGACCCTGGGCGCTGCTGCAGGCCCAGCCGGCGCCAACGCGGGCCCTCAGCCCCACGCGGGTGCCGGCATCAGCGCTGCCCTGGGCCCGGCCCCACGCGGGCCTCGGCCCCCCATCACATTCAGCCAACACTGCTGCAAACCCCAGCGCCCGTCGGCAGGGCGGGGCCGGAAGGCAATGGAGGGGCAGCTCCGCCCTCCCCAACTCAGCCGGGAGCTGGAACCCCTAGCTCCGCGCCCAGCCGCGCCGCCATCTGCGCAGCGCGGCCCCTTTACCTCGTAGACATCGAGGAGCCTGTGGCGCTTGAAGTACGCCCGGAGCGCAGGGTCCGCGCTGCGCAGCGAAGCCATGGTCGAGCCGGGCCCCGCCGGGGCCTCGCAGTTCGCGGCCTCCTACGGCCAAGGCAGCGGCGCTCCCGGTCGCCTAGCAACCCGCTGCCACAGATCCAGCCACGCACCGCCCGCCCTCATTGGGCGCCTCAGCTCAGAGTACGGCGGGGTCCCACGGGGAGGGGAGTGTCCCGTCCCGCCCCCCACTCACCCCATCCCGACTCTGTACCCGCGCCCCGGTCACCCCCATCCCGACTCTACACTCCACGACCCCCACCACAAGTCCCACTCAGCCCATCCCAACTTTGTACCGCCCTGCCCAGCGTCCCATTCACCCATCCCAATTCCATTAATACGCGCTGCTCCGAGCCCCCCCTCACCCATCCCACTCTATATCCCCTGCCCTACCCCAAACATCCCCAGCCCAGCTCCATTCATCCATCCAACTCCCCATCCCAATTCCATTCATACCCGCTGCTCCGAGCCCCCCTCACCCATCCAACTCTATATCCCCTGCCCTACCCCCAACCCCATTCATCCCCAGCCCAGCTCCATTCATCCATCCAACCCCCATCCCAATTCCATTAATACGCGCTGCTCCGAGCCCCCCTCACCCATCCCCCACCCCTCCATCATCCATCCACCCCCTCCCCCCATCCCGCCCTACCCCAAACCCCATTCATCCCCAGCCCAACTCCATTCATTCCCCCACTCCTCCATCCCAATTCCATTCATACCTGCAGCTCCGAGCCCCCACTCCTCCATCCCAGCTCTATATTCACTGCCCAGCTCCAAAGCCAACTCATTCCCCCCTCAACTCCATTCATCCCCCCAGCCCCAGGCTGCTCCACACCAAGCCCCCACTCATTCAACCCCCATCCCAACTCCATTCATAGCACCTGACCTCCTCTCACACCAAGCCCTGAATTTATAGCCATTCTAAATTATTTCATGCCCCCTGTCCATACCAGCCTCTCAAATTGCCCCTATTTCAACTCCATTCATACACCCAGCCTTGCACTACACCACACCCACCACTCACACGTCCATACCTACTCCCATCTATACCCCCAGCCCCACACCACACTAAGCTCCCCACCCAGACCCTCCCAAACACCATTCATACACCCAGTCTTGCACCTACACTGAGCCCCCTACCTCACCACACAGGCACCATTTATACTTCCTCAACAAGCCTATCCATACGTTCATCACTAGCCCCCAGTTGAGCCCCATTATTCCTCCATCTGTTCCCCCATGAGTAAGGCTATCTTTTAGTCACAGGTATTTTTAGTAAAAGTCATGGACAGGTCATGGGCAATTAACAAAAAGTCACGGCCCTGTGACCTGTCCATGACTTTTACTAAAAATACCTGTGACTAAACCTTACCTGCTGGGAGGTAAAGACTGAAGACTGCTGCTGATGGGGGGACGGGCAGCGTGGGGCAATGCTTCTGCTGGAGGGGTGCAGACCGGGGCCCTGCTGCAGCTGGAGGCGGCCCAGGGACCCCTGCTGCTGGAGGGAGGAGCAGCTCGGGCCCCCCCTGCCGCTGCTGTGTGGGGCGACGGCCCACGGTCCTGCCACTGCTGGTCTGGGTAGGGGGCAGCCCAGGGCCGCCCTGCCGCTGCCGGTCTGGGCACAGGACAGCCCATGGCCCCACTGCTGCTCCGGGAGTGGAGGGGCAGCCAGGTCCCCCACTCGTCCAGGTTGGGGACAGCCCAGGGACAGCCCACCACCACCGCTGGTCTGCGTAGGCACAGCCCAGGGCCCCTCCACTACTGATCTGGCTTGGGGAGCGGCCCGTGGCCCTGCTGCTTGTCTGGGAGGGGGGGCAGCCAGGGCACCCCCCAACCACCGCCGCTGGTCTGGATGGGGGATGGTCCAGGGCCCCACTGCCACCAGTCCGGGCGGGGAAGGCTCAGGGCCCTGCCATTGCCGGTCTGGGCAGGGCCCGCCACCACTGCCACTGGTCCCGGACTGCTGCTCCAGGGCAGCCCCAGGGACCAGCTGCTGGGGTGGTCCTGGGGTCAGCTGCACCAGCACTGCAAAATTCACTGAGGTCATGGAAAGTCATGGAAGCTGTGATTTCTGTGACCTCCGTGAATGATTCGCAGCCTTACCCATGAGCCTCCATATAGCTCTCATCCATACAGATCATTTCTAAGCAACACTGAATTCCTCATCCATACCACATTGCTTGGGCCCTCCCAAATTCACGGCCATGAAAAAGGCATCATGGACCAGGAAATCTGGTCTCCCCTGTGGGGAAATCTGGTCTTTTGTGTGCATTTACCCTATACTATACAGATTTCACAGGGGGAAACCAGCATTTCTCAAATTAGAGATCCTGACCCGAAAGGAAGTTGCAATGGGGATCGCGGTATTGCCACCCTTACTTCTGCACTGCCATTACAGATGTAGGAGCTGATGGTTTTAAGTTTTCTGAAAGCAGACACGTCTAACCATTTTTTGAAAAGCTATGGACAGAATTTTAATAGAAATACTCATAAAATTGCATCAGGTGTATGTGTAACTGCTGCCCACATCCTTGCTTTGCCTCTGACTTCAAATTATCTTTACTTATTAATTAATTACTATTGCTGTAAAAAAGTTGTGATTTTTTGGTTCAAAAGCTATGATCACCATTTGTTAAAGTTGCAGTTTTTTGAGTGCAAACACCATAAAAAAACAAACACCCCAAGAATAGAAACAGGATCTAAACTCCTATTTTGCAACTGACTAGATCAGTGGTTCTCAAACTTTTTTGTTCATAGACCACTTGCAAATTGCTGAGGGTCTCGGTGGACCACTTAATGATCTTTCCAAATGTTCTTTGTACCATTAGCTAACTCTGGTAAAGCACTTTGGATAAAAGCGCTATCTAAAAAAAACCTTAATAATAATTCACTTTTTTTTTGTTCCACAAATAAAAGCACACAACTCATATTTTAATATCAGTAGTCTTACCTTTCTAATGCAATGGATGTGCCCTCTCTTGCCTGCTGGGGCAGCCCCCAAGCTGGGGCTGGGAAGGAGGAGGGTCTCCCCTCACCCCAGCAGCCACAGAGCTGAGGCCAGGAAGGAGGGCCATCTCACCCTGGCAGCCACAGCCCTAGAGCTGGGGAAAGTCACCTCTTTCTCTGGCCACTGCAGCCCTTCACATTCCAAATTTTCCCCACCCCCTCTTCTCACCCCACTGCCCCCTCCCACCTACCCCCTATTCCCTCCAAGGCCACCACCTCACCTTAGATGTGCATCTTCTCCAGGGTGGAGGCACCTAATTAGTGGAGCCACACCTACACAACTCCACTAATTAGGTGCATGGCCCGTTCATTCTCTTGTGTGCAGCCGCCCAGGAGCGCACCTTAGAGGGAACTATCCATGGACCACCTGAATAGAGCTTGTGGACCACTGTTTGAGAACCTCTGACCTAGCTCCCAAGGCTATACTGCAGATTAATTAATTTTTTGTGAAGTGATAGGGGATTCTTAGCCAGAAGGTGTTCCTGTGGCCTACTGGATCCAGCATAGGATTGAGACTGAGAAAATTAGGATTGTAGTCCCAGTTTGGCTCCTGGGTGACCTAGGACAAGTCCCATTTCCCCATCTATAAAATGTGGATAATGATGCTGCCCTCCTTTGTAAGTGCTTTGAGATCCGTCAAAAATTGCTGTTCAGGAGCTGGTTATTACTATATAGTAGTATTAGTAGTTTTGTTCATATACTGTTACAAGTTTTTAAAGTTTCTGCTTAGCTTCAGTTAGTTTTCATGTTTTTAAAAAGGGCTGAGTGAAAAATGAAGAGGTGATAGGGGAGTTGTTACTACCATTTTTCTCTCTTATATCTGATTGCAATGTCTCTCCCATGTGGAGATTATCTCCCACCCTCTTCTTTTGGGGAGATGATTATAGTTGGAGTTTTTAAGTAAGAGCTACCTTGAAAATGTTATTATTTGTATTGTGGTAGCACATAGGAGCCCCAGTCACTGATTAGGATCCCATTGTGCTGTGTAAAAAGAATAAAAAGAAGGTCCAGGCCCCAAATAATTTATAATCTGTGATGGGGGGCGGGCTGCACATGACTAGCCTTGAAATTAGATCAAATCAGCTGCCCTCATGAGATTTTGAGGGGGGTTGGTTTTAGTTTCCAATCATGCCGACGTTTTGGTTAGCATTTAAACATAATGGATCATGCCCACATCTGAGGTACTTTTCCTGGTGTGCTGATTAGGCTGGGGAGAGGGACCATCACCTGGGCTGTGCAGTAGGCGGTAGGTTTTGGGTGTGAGCAGTGGCGGACTAGCCAAGGGGCCCCGGGCAATCGGGGTGCCCCCTCCGCGCGCCCACCCGGCGCTCCCGCCGGGGACGGCGGGAAGCTCCAGCGCCCTGACCCCGCTCCCCGGCAGGAGCACCGAAGGGGAGAGACTGCAGGGGGGGGGCACAAACCCCTAACCCCGCGCGCTGGGTGTGGGCCGATCGCTGCAGCGCGTGACGGGCGGCGAGTGCCCGCCGGGGGCGCCTGCCTGTCACCGCCTCCGCGGCGCGAGCCGTGGGGGGGGCAGCACGTCAGCGTAGGGGGGCAGAGGTCAGAGGGGAGCTTTGCCGCCGAGCGGTTCCTCAGCGCAGTTGCGGGACGGGGAACGACGTGTCCCGTTTCCGCCAGGCCGGGCTGAGGCGCGTCCCGCGGCGGTGAAACGGGCGCTTGGGCCGGCCTCAGCCTGGGCGCTCGGCGAGGCCGAGCACCAGCGGGGCATGGGCGAGGCCAGGGGGGCGGCGAGAGCTGGGGCGGCGGCGGCGGCGGCGGGGCTGGTGCTGGGAGCTGGCGCGTGTTACTGTGTTTACAGGCTGACCGGGAGCAGGAGGGCGGGAGCCGCCGCCGGGACAGAAGGAGCCGCTAGCGCGGGGTCGGCCCCCGGGGGCGGTTTGCTGCCTCAGGTGTCCGGGCTGTCCAGCCTTGCCTGGCGGGGACCCTCCAGCCTCCGCTCAGGTGAGATGCAGAGGGGCTCACGCCGGCAGGCTGTCTGCAGGCAGGCTGTGCCCCCCCGACCTCCCGCCCACTGGCGGGGGCTTTGTCCAAAACACCCTTAGTTACTCTCACACACCAGGGGCGTTTTTAAACATTTGTATTGCCGACAAAATCTAGGCT